GCTGTGTAGTGATTCCATCTGCAAATAGAGAACCTTGTTCTGTTTGCAGTAAAACACTGCACTGTTTGATAGATGTGTTTTCCTCTTGATCAGGTTTGAGATGTGTAGGTGGGGAGTTCTCACACAAGTTCCTTTTACTGCAGAAGCACTCTCTATCACAGGACCTAATCCTGCAAGGTGCAGAGTGCTCTCAGATCCCAGCAGTCATATGGAACATTTTTTTAACATTTTTTGTCCTTTTGTATCAGAAAGAGCTAGGTTTTGGACTTGCTGTTGCATTCCTTACCAACTTCAATAATCCCGTAAGGCAACCAGATAGGGCAGTAAATGCTGTGGTAATGTTTCTTTTACTTTTGACATAGTGATAACTAAATATGAAAGCCACTCAGATAAGCACTAAGGACCAGGGGATGCAGTCACAGATTCCTGCTTATTATTTTCTGCAATGGAGAGACTATTTACATGCAATCTTCAAGGCTGGGTATGTATAATGTGGAAAAATATTAAGTAGATAAATTATAGCAAAGTAGAAGGAGATCTGCCAGGCACCAGTGTCACTGAAACAAATCTGTTTAGAAAGACAAAACTTCTAATAGTAGATTGTCTTTGAAAAAAATACCTCTGTGTAGCTTTATTTTCAAATGTTTTCAAATATCATACATGTCCACTCTCTCTAAAAAATATAGCTTAATGAATGCACACTTATGTGGGAATACATAACTACTTATAGAGCAATAATTTTTAAAAATATTGCTACATTCCAGTGTTTTGAATTTTGTCTTAAACATACCAATATATGCTTCTATGAATGGGCAAGGGGCACAGAAGCTATCAAATAATAGCACCTTCATGAAGCCCCAGAGCACTGCAAAGAACAGCGGTGAATCCCCTGGAGAGAGAATCCACAATTACTCTTTCACAGTCATGATGGTCGCTTAGGGCAGAACAGGAGCTTCATACTTCTTGAGCCTTCACAAAAGACAGCCTAAGATGATGGGAACTATCTCCTCCAAACCATTCAAATAGCTCATGAAATAATTTCACAGTTCAATTCTGCTTCATTACAAATGGGATTTTGTTACAGCTGCATCACCTTAAGTCAGTCCCTGTGTGTGCTTTGGCATGCTACTGCCACTGCACTTCACTTGTCACTTAAGAGAAGCCCCTTTCAAGGAGCAGAAGCCTCCATTATTGCCATCAGTTCCTGGTTTGCACAATGGCCTGAGGATTGGTTCTAACTCTATTGCTACTTCATATTCAGGACTCTCCTTCAGTAATATGCATCAGTGCATTTTCTATTAGCATTGTAGATGGTAAAATCCAATGTTGTAGCCAGGGTCACTTACACAATTCATTTACTGCCAACATAGAGATGCTTGAATGTTCAGCTGTTTCTAGTACCCAAGAGAAAATATGGTGCTATAACTGGACTTTATGTCAACTAGCCTAGGTCCTGTTTTTCCACAGGCCAGATTTGGAACCAGCACTCAACATCTGTCTCTTGTGTCTCATTGACGTGATACAGACATTTTTCATTGAAGCACAGCAATTAGATTTGCTCTTTAGTACTTTGTAAGGTAAAACAGAGGTTCCGCTTAGATGGGTATGTCAAGACTGCAAGTACAGTAGGCCTGCAGCTCAGGTGCTAACTGCAAGTGCATTTTAATCTGTTTCAGGGTTATTTATAAGGTACACCCATACTACCCTTTGGAATCGTCTCATAAGAGAGAAAAGACAGTCCACCTCTTAGATGACCTTTTTCTAAATTCGTAAAATTAAAAAAAAAAAAAAAAAAAAAGCCTCAAGTAGCATGTGTGGCTGTTTAGTGCAGTTGAAGACCCAAAGTGGCTTTGGCAAACATTGCCCTGCTGGCAGTCCTTGCTATCAAGCAGAGCTGACTCCCAAATGCCTCCACTGATGGCAGACTAGTAGTGTGCTTTGAGGAGAGAGCCTGCATCCAGAGTTTTAAAGCTCAGCACCAATACCTTGAATCCTGCTGGCAGCCAAGGCAGCTCACAGAGCGCTAGTGTGACATGCTGTGAATTTAAGATCTGATTGATATGTGACTGCTGCATTCCTGACTTCCTTCAGGCTCTGAATGATCTCAAGCAATAGCCAAAAGGAAAGCATATTACAGGAAGCTAATCTTGAGGTGAAAAGACTGCGAACAAGCATAGCAAGCTCCATTTAGAGGAATTTTTTGTTATTCCAGGTAGATCAAAAATTGTGGAATGGAAATTAAAATGCTTATTCTGAACTGCAGCACGTGTAAGCTATGGCTGCTAGGCAAATTGAAGTGATTTGATGTTAGGTATTCTAGGGATGGAATGAGTAGCATTTTATTTTTCTGCAGCCACTAGGAGTTTGCTCTGACTTCATGTATGTACCTTCACACTGTCCATGGGATACTGATTTCTGCCCTGGACTGGTGATGAATGTTCTGATCCATCGCTCCTGTTTGCAAAATGGATGCAGAGAGATTTGGTTGGGTCTCAATTGCAGATTGCTACTATTGTTCCAGCCAGTTAGAACAGACACTCAGGAAATAATATTTTATGCTAACAGACATATATGTTGCCCACAGCAGTAGGTAAGTTGTGTATAGAAAGAGGTACCTTAGGGGAGATGCAGCTTTTTTGGAATATAATGTCCCAGTAATGCTGGCTCAGTTCACATATTCATCGAAGTCCCTGATTGTTGCAAGAAAAGTGAAGATTCAAATCCTAGGAAGTAATTTGCTGTGTTGCATGAAAATTAATGAAAACCTCCAATAGTGATAGACAAAATGGTGGAAAAAATATGTAGGTCTGGGACTAATTAATAAACCAAGGGATTTTAATGCATTGGATAGAACTGAGCCAGAGATTAATTTGGTCCACATTGCACATACTTTGTGCAACAAAGAACACTAAGCTCCCTTATAATGCAGTGTTGTAGGATTCCTACACATTCAATACTAGCTGCACCAGTTTCCACTTACCCAAATTGAGACTTTGACAGAGACAGTAGCAGAGTTATGGTGTGTCACTTTTGCTTTGTATTGAATTTTGCCTGTAGTTTTATTTTCCTCTATAACTTAACGCATTATGGCTACAATCTCCTATCCTTCCTAACAACAAGCAGTGTCTTTCCTTATTGCTTTCAACAGATGATTGCACACAGGTGCTACTTAAAGACCGTACAGATGACGTAATCCAGTCCCTACAGAGACTGGATTTTGACCATAATTTAAATATTGGTAGAAACATCTGCAAAATGCCGAATTGTCTCTAAGGCTCTCTGCTAGAGGTAAGCCTGTAGGAAAGCAGCATGCTTGTCTGCTCTGGTGACCTGCCCCCCAGTGGCAATACACCCAAGCCAGGCTGGAAGTGGAGGGGAGCAACAGGGGCAGAGGCAAAAGTCAGATTTCACAGAAGCAAAAGATGATACCAAAATTAAGTACAGCAATGTAGCTGTTGCATGGCACTAGGTAAAATCCTTTGGTTAGGTCTGCACTCGCAAACCACGGGCCAGAGCACACTGGGAAATTATCTGTAGCACATTTTGACCTGAACAAGTCTCTTCTAGACTTGCAGGCATGTTTTTCAGCCCTAAACACAGACTAGGAATCATTCCTGGTAGGCAATCTGAAAGCAGCCAGATGATTTGACTGAAGTATTTCACTATCATATGGACACAAAATATGTTGCATCAATCATGTTGGTATCAGGGAATTGGAAATAGCCCATTTTATTATCATTTTATATTCATATAGAATTATTGTATACTAATTATTCTAGTCTGTACTAATAGGATGATTAGTATAGCACGTACTCAGAGACTTGTCTGCCTCACTTCATTCATTCTGTAATACAAGGATAATAATGTTTGTCTCCCCTGCTACCTAACAAGGATGCTGTAAAAAATTATGTTCTAAAAAATGGTAAAACTTTGAGGATTTGGGGAAAGGACAAGGGGACACACATTAAATAGCACTTATAATTTTAATCTAACTTTTTCATTCCTTCTAAGCATGCTAGCAGCTGCTTTTCCTACCTACTACACAATAATTTATGTTTTCTGATATGGGGTGAAGGGGAAGAGTGCTGGTTAAACTTATTACATTGTCTAAGTGAGAAGTAATTCATTTAAGAATTAGTCTTTTTATTCTGCTGGACAGCTGCTACAGAATTGACTGTCTTCAAAGGATGGACATGGTGTACCATTTGCCTTTATGAAGGATTTAACACATAGGCCATGCACAGATGGAGAGGCACACACATATAAGAAAAAAAAAAAAAAATATATAAATATATATATATACACACATATGCTGTGGTATATACAGTAAGACCTGCTTCTGTAAAGGTCACTTAAAAACTATCAGCTATACAAAATAACAAGTTGGCTATCAACTGTCCCTAGGGTCAACATTCTCCAAGACCTAATGAGATCAAGTTGGCAGGACATGAAAGGTATGTTGTTGCTCCCACGTCTCATGCAAAACTTCAGGAAATTGCATTAATGTTTCTTACACTAACACTCACAAATGAGATTCACTTTTTCATTGCATGGACATTCAGACATATTAAAGAACTGCTGTCCTCATCCACTCTGAAATTTCACTATATTAAGTACTGTCTGGAACAGCAAAATCAAGTATATTGTAAAAGCACCAGGAAGGCAAAGAAGAGGACAGAGTAATTTGTTTGCTGATGTTGAGTAAAATATGAGAGAGGCAGCAGGTCAATCTGTGCAGACAGGCCCAGGAGAAAAGCCCTGGTGTTTCCCTGTGTCAGAGGACAGATCTTCTCCAGGAAAAAGAAAGCAGGAGGAGTGCCAACAGGAGTGTGGTCTGTGCCCATTTTGTGTGTAGAAGCTAGGGGGAGGAAATATGAGATGTTAACATTCTAACAGGCATCTACATTTCCTAGCATTGTTGGAGTGCTTAAATGTGCTGTGGTCTTTGCTTTCTTTTCTTTTTTTTTTTTTCTTTTTTTTTTTTTTTTTTTTTTAATCTCTTATCTAGCTCTACTAGGACTTAAAGGAAGAGCAAGTTGAACATTTCCCCTTCCCAGACTCCACAGATTCCTCAGAGGAAGAGTACCTTGTGCACAGATTATGTAGAGTAGAAGAGTCTGGCAATCTGTTGTGTGTCCCTTCATTCATAAATTTAGGAAATTAATAATTTAATTTATTCCACAATCACAATTTAACAAATCCTTCTAATGCTGATACTGCCTTTCTTATGTTTTTATTTCATTCTTTTAATCTAACCTCTTCAGGTTCCTTTGATGATCCAGAGGATGAGCTACATCACTGAAAGCACTGTCTGGAAATTATTAGTGGTATGATCCTGTTCAACCTTGGTGATTTTCTCTTTTGCACTGAAATGGACACAGAGTCCTCATATTGTCAGTGATGATACTCAGATAAGGAGCAGTGACAAGCCAGTGAAGCTGAGAGGAGAGATTAAATTAAACTGCACCAGCTTTGTTGGTGATGCACACCCAGTTCCATTGCATGGAGGAGGAGTCCTTGCCATGTGAAGCTAGTTTAGCACATGGTTAGCACATGGTTAGCATACACCACACTGAAATCACTCTCCCAGTCCAAGGGCTACTTATACAGAGAGAAGTTTAATTCTGGAACTTCAGTGTTTCAGGTTGTGATGGCACAGAGGCAGCAGCTGAGTGCTCCTGCCTCCTCTGCAAATGCCTGTAGTCTTAAAGTGCTACAAAGTCCCAGCAGTTTGAACAAACACTCAAATTCAGCTTTAGTGGCAAGGCTCAACACAGAATATGGGTGAAAACTGTGGCTGAAATGCCACATAAGATGATGATACTTGCGTGGTGGTTTACAACTTGTTCCATTTACCCTTCAAAAATTTATTAACTGTTAAAATGTTTGTGATCCTAGAAATGCTTTAGGAGACTGACTTGCCATGAAGCCTAATGCATGTGAAGTAGCCTGCACCTCTTGTCACGACCATGCGTTGATAGCTCAGCTCATGCCTCTGTCTTAATGGAGCACGTGAGTTGGGACAGCCAGGCTCAGAAACTTTGTGTTCTGTGGCCAAGGTTTTGGGGCTTGGGGCTTTTCAGGGATGCTAATTTAGAAAAAAAATATGATTCAAATACTAGGTTTCCAGACTCGGACAAGCACCTGAAGAACAAACTGAAAAAGCTAGTTTATAATTGTCATTTTCTGATGGCAAAGCTACGAAAAAAAGTGGCAGTGCTGGGTGTTCAGCCAACTGCTAACTATAACCATGCTGGAAAGAGGCTGAACCACAAGAGCCATGTTTAATTTGCACATCGAAGGAGGCCGCTGAGAATGGGCTGGGGAAACCTCGAGAAAACACAACACTATGATTTCATTTACAGTTTCATTGTAAAAGAAGCCTAAAAAGTCACTGCTGAAAGTCAGCTTTGCCTGGTGATTTTTCTCTTGTTGAACTGAGGGTGATGTAGCACAGGGCCTAAGCGACAGGAAGAGAAAGGTTTGGAAGGTGACTCACTACCTTTTTCACAAGCAGAGGCAAGCACTTGGTAATTATGGGGAATATGAAATTAATACTTAGACAGCCTCATAGCTGCCTTTTAATAATAAGTAAGACTACTTCGTCTGGTGGCATAACACTGTACATTTGAAAGAGCTGTCCTACAAGGAGACTGCATTTTCCCCAGCAATGGAAAGATGCTGAACAGTCATCACATAGCAATACATGTTCTGAGTTTCTGTGCTTCCTGCTCATAACAGACATGAAAAGGAAAAATCAAGGCTAATAACAAGTTAGTAAAGAAGGGATTCCTACCTTAAGGCCTCTGAGTGCTTAGCTCAAATATAATTAAAAACAAGAGTTTAAAGGAAAAAAACAGCCTTGTCCAGTAAGCAGAACAATCATAAATTTATCCTGTCTGGGAAGACACAACCTTTCCAGAGTATCTGAATATAATTAAAGAAAGCACCTAGCAACCCTGCACACACTTCAATATGTTTGGCCACTGGCTCCAAGCAGTTCATATGTCAGGAGAAAGGAGCCTGGGCTGCTTACACGTGTATGTGGAAAATTTTCGCATGTGTGTGGAAACAGTTAAAAATCACTGGAAGTCCATACCCATCTTTTCAGGGTGATATCATGCCAGTGTTGACTCTTCTTTCAACTCATCTGATCTTAGTCACCACACTAACAGGTAGGTCAACAGGCAACACCACAGATTTGCCTGATACTTTTTCAGTTTTGCATGCCACAGTGGTTCTGTGTTTGCTGTCAGCCCTATCAGAGGCAAGCAGTGAACACATCTTTCCAAGTAGTGTGGCACTGCTGATTCACAGCGAGAGTGCTGCACACTGTCCTCTTGCCATTCTAGGCACAACCCACACTCCACATAGCAGCCCCATGTGCAGGGCACTACTGCTGGTTGCCTGGAGAAGTTGTGGATGCCCAATCCCTGGAAATGTTCCAGGCCAGCTTGGATAGGGCCCTGAGAAACCTAATCTAGTGGGTGGCATTCCTGATTATGGCAGGGCGTTGAAACTAAAGGATGTTTAAGGACCCTTCCAACCCAAATCATTCTATGATTCCATGATTCAATGATTTTCAATAATGCTAGATGTGAACCCCTGGAATGAGATGTGAAGGCCATATCTTCCAACATTTTCAAGTTGAAAGAGTTGTTTCTGACCATACATTAAATTTGTTCCCATATTCAATTGACTGATAGGGGAAGGAAGACAAAGACACCTCTTTGAAACCCTGGGAACCCTCTTGCCTCAAACCAGTTGCAACAGGATGGATGCCATCATACGGGTGAACGCCTTTAGAAATGTTTTAGCTATTCCTCAGATTCTTCTGATTGGCTTCAACTGCTTGATTCCCACTTCTGAGTGCCAAGCAAGTGTCAGAGCACTATAGAGAGGAACTGATCCTGCATAGCCTGGCTAATTGATGCAGTCAGTCATCAATATCTCATAGTCATCAAAATCTATGTAATACATATTGGGTCTCAAAGTTATTCCAGTCATTAGTTTTTCTCTGTTAGACTCTGATCTGGTAACAAAGAAGCTCACAAGACACACTCTCTTTTATTCACACACCTGTGGGAATTCATTGAATCATGGAATGGTTTAGGCTTGAAAAAGCCTTTTAGACCACTGAGTCCAAATACTAACTGAGCACTGCCAGGTACCCCACCTAAACCATGTCCCTAAGCATCACACCCGTACATTTTTTTAACAGTTCCAGGGATAGTGATTCCACCACTTGCCTGGGAAGCCTGTTCCAATGCTTGACAACTTTTTCTGTGAAGAAATTTTTCCTCATATCCAGTCTAAACCTCCACAGGCACAATTTGGAGTCAATTTCCTTTAGTCCTATTGCTTGTAAATTAGAGAAGAGACCAACCCTCACCTGGCTACAGCCTTCTTTCAGGTAACTGTAGAGGGCAATAAGGTCCCTCCTGAGCCTCTTTTCCTCCAGGCTAAATAACCCCAGCTCCCTCAGTCACTCCTTATCAGACTTGTGCTCCAGGTCCTTCCCTATTTCCGTTGTCCTTCCCTGGACATGCTCCAATACCATATATGCCTTCTGTTTCCTGATTGAAAAAGTAATCCAGAGTTACCACTTGTGAACCTGGTCGTGATTTGTACAGTAAAAAGTGTCATAGTTTAGATAATATGACCTCCTGTCTTATCTGGAGGAAACATGGCTTGATGGAATTCATCCACCCACCGGAAGATGTATTTAAATTTACAAAATGAACACTAGAGTTTTTCTAAAGATGTGTAAAGGGATCTTTAATGAGTGTATCTGCTCTGTCAGAGCCTTTGTCTGCTACCACTAACATCTTGAAGTTCTTCCCAATATTACGGAGGGTTTGGTACAGTACTGTGAATGCATTTGGTAGGAAAAAATACTTTTTCTGGCTCTTCCAAAGTTCTTTTCAAGGGTCTGCCAAAAATTCTTGAGAACAATACGTGGTGATATAGAAAGATCATCAAATATTGTTATCTATGTTCTACCTACCTGTACTGGACACGGACTAAATCTAAGTCTTCAGAACTGTCAGATTTAGTCATTAGAAGATGATTTATAGAAAACTGATGTACAAGGAAAAAACATCTGGGAGAAAGGAAGGAGAAAACATTTGAAAGAAAGGCCTATGTTTCTTGCAGTTAATTATTTTGCTGGTGTTGTTGTAAGTCTGTGTCTTCATTTCTGATGGTAACTGTGGACATTAAGCAATTCAAACACACCTAAATGTGCATGGCTGATCTTGCCTAATGAATACACTTTCAGGCCTAATTTTTCTGCATATAAAAATGTTTCCTGCAGAATGTACCTTCCCAAACCACTTTAGACACCATCATAGACAACTCATTGCATAGATGTCATTTTTGTTACTCTTCATAAAACTTAAACAGTAATCATGATGATAAGGGATTTCTATAGCTGGCGTGCTTATTAGATCTTCCCTATTAAAATTTAAAAATCTTAATAAAAATGGTGTTGAAAAACTACCAGGGACTTTCCTTGTATGAGTACTGTAGCTTTTCTTACAAAGATGTTTCAGCAACCACATAAAAAACTATTTAGGGAAAAAAAGGAAACAGCACATCTAAAGCAAGATTAAAATAAGAGTGTGATTGATCTGAACTTCTCTCTTTCTTTTTTTTTTTTTTAATTCAAAGTTTGTTCTTCCCATATTGTTCAGGAAAATGTGCCCATGTGCAAAAGTATATGATGCCTAATTGGTTCTGAAAGTGGAGTTCATATGTAAATATGTGGTGTGAGAAGACAATGACAAATCTCCCCCATTACTCATCAGGATAGAGCCCTTGCTGATTGTCAGTGCAATTTCCTGAGCTATCACAATTCTGTTGCTCAAAGCCATATTTCCAGAGTACCATGTATCTGTATCTGTACCATGTTTCTGTACTTAATTTAGTACAGAATATTTAGAACTAGCAGCTGAGTTAAGTCTGAGAATGCATTTTCTTCTCCTGGCATTTAGGCTAGACCAGAAGAGAGGGGAGGAAGAAAGTATAAAAATGAAACCTTAACCTTTTAATATTTAATTCTATATTTCAAATGCAAAACTAGGGAAACACAGCTAACAGAAATAACCAGGGGAGTATAACATTTAAAATTAACTAAAGAAAGTGGATTTAGTAATATCTTTCAAAGACACTGTAAAGTCAACAGAGTTGCAGTATAAATCTCAGTATTGAATTAAAAAAAAAAAAAATTAATAGGCTTTCTTATGGTTCAGTCACTCTCATTTTCCCCTAAATTTAGCATATGACAAGAGTCAGGGCTGCATAAGGGTGCTAACAGATAAAGATTAAATCCAAAAAGTATTAAGTCCAACTCAATAAAAAAAATTGTGTTTGATCCAAACTCTTGTCTGTTTAAAGACAGTTTGTGCATCCAAACGCTCTCCCCCAAATCTCTCCTTAGTGACATACCATGGGGATGATATAGCTACCAAGGGGTTGGTTTCTTTCCATCTTTACTTTTGGAAATGTTCAATGTTGTGTAAATTATTAATTACCACTGGTCTAGAAATCAAAGTAGAGGGACAATAGCAGGGAGAGAAAAGACACCTTGACTCTCTAGCCAACTAGTCAGAAAACACAGCAAAGTTCAGAGTCCAAAGACCTTCTCAAATAAATATTTAGTTACTGATATTAAGTGGAGCACCCCTCAGAAGACAGGATGAGAGATTCTTCCCATATTAGCCAGTAGATTGGTCACTTAGCCAGTCACCTAGAATACAAGAGACTAAGTATAAGTCCTAAATTAGGGCTAAATCAGCAAAAATCTAGGTTAAAAGGTACCCCAGAGAAGTTCATCTGTTGGCTTATATTAAGGTGGATCTTGGTGTTTTCCTAAACACTTGTTAACTAGGAAACTATTACTTAGACAACTTGTGCAGTTCTAGAAACCCACTTTTTAAAATACACATTTCATTAAATATACGCAACATTTAAAATGTTAAAAAAAAATATATAAATTCTCTACTCTGCAAAAAATAAAGGTTCAATGGGTCAGACAATTTTCCTGCAACTGAAACCTATTAATGCTCTTCTGGGTATTCCCCTGGCATGAGGAAGTAACTGTCATCTTGCCACTAAGGATGTATCCATCATACTCACTGACCACAAGGAACGTGTGCAAGATACCACTTGGGTACCCATATGAGGAATCTTTATCTGGAACTACAGCCTGAGATAGATATACGCATATATATAGATATATAGATATATACATCCACTAAGAAATAGAACTCACTGAAATACTTCCATGACATCATACTTAGCATATGCAGTAGGTGTAGATATTAATTCAGCCAACTATATGGAGATTTGAACCTGTGAATATTTATCAGGAAGGTCTGCTCACTGGTTAATTGTGTCTTGCCAAATGCTCTTAAAACATTTTCTATAATGTATGTAAAGAACAAAAGTGGGGGATGTAACGAAGTTATGTTTAGATCCTAATACTGAAACAAATGACAGGTACAGAAGCCTCCTACCTTTCTCCTCAATGTGTTTGAAATGTAAGGTTAATGTAAAGAATCAAATTGCTATTGGAAGGAGACAAGAAATATACATGTTTCAGCTGATCTACACTTCCACATAAGAAGAAAGATGAGCCAATGATAGGGAAGGGAATGAAGCTGTAAGTGGATTGTCAAAGAAAAGGAAGTGCTGGAGAAGAGACTTTGGAATTAGGAGGCTGATAAACATAAATTCTGGCCAGAAAATCTGGAGGATAGATTTCCCATTAGAAAACTGACATCTTTCAATAGAGGAGCAATAACTTCAAAATGGTGATCTGTAAACGTGACTTCAGTATCTCATTTGGGCCAGAAGTCTCATCTGCCTAAGGAAATCTCCTCATCAGCCCCCACCTCCTATGGCACAGTACAGCTGTCCCCAGCATGAACATGGCTCCTCCAGCACTGTGGGAGCTGCAGTCAGGATGAGAAACTTGCTCATAGAACAGGGAAACCAAATCACTGCACTACATTTTCTAAGAGGTGCCACTGTACCGCATTCAAATTATTTTGTCTGGAATATACTGGCTGAAATATTGCATTGTCTTATGTTTTCAGGTATATTTCCTTGTTTTTTCAGGCATTCTTTACAGACAGCATTTTCCTTGGCAATAAACAGATATTCTTCTCAGGTCTATGCTGCACATGCACAAAACAAAAAAACTCTGTCTTCCACTGCAAACAGATTTTTTCTTAAAAATCAAGCAACAATCAGATTTAAAAACTATACTCAATAGAAAATAACTAAGTACTTCAATTTTTGAAATAATTTCTAAAATTTTGCTAAAGGAGGTAGCTGGTGTCCTGGGCAGTTGAATCAATGACATTTCTTGACTTTCTAAAAAGCTGCAATCTTCACGATGGATCCTTAAGGTTAATCAGTGAAACCAACTTTCTCCCTGAATATCTATCTACCTTGCCTGGCACTGACAGAGAGAAGACAAGCCAGAATGTGGACTCTGAATGTCTTCAGTAAATCAGGTGCTTAACCCTTAGGCATCACTCCAGCCACTTTGGAACAATCTTGAAAAAACAGTACAGAAAAGGCAAATCTACTTCTTCCGCTGACTCAAGTGTCATACATATGCTACCTCAGCACTGAATATTGCAAATTTGTCATTAGATCACTTAATCAGATATTTGTTTTTCATAGCTTGGAGCTGACAGTCTCAGTAAGTAAAAGCTTTCTTGCAGAAGCAAGTCTTGCCATTGGATCAGCACATGCTGCATGGTGTGTTTTGCAAACATGTGGCTAATGTGCAGATGACAATAAGGGGAAGCAAAACTGATGTGTGTTTCTTTCATTTCTTACCCAGTTCCATCAGAGAAGCCATCTTGC